AAACTCCATGATTGGATTTTTCACTTTATCTATTCTATTCTTTTAGCCTAATCTAAGTGCAGAATTGTGGAAAAAAAAACGTAAAGATGTCAATGAGTGTCATTAAACAGTATTTTTTTGAGAGTGACTTCTGATCAAACTTAAATATTTTCTAAATTGCGCACGAGTCCAACTTCTGTTTGAGTAACTTCACAATATCCTCAAGATTAGCTATACGCTCTTCCAATTCGGCTTGTTTCTTCTGGCACTCTCCATGATTTGAGTTCAAGCTGGTGGTAATTGTGTGATCATGTACTATATTCCTTGGAACACTTGGAAGCAGCTGCAACAAACGATGTGGGAGAGCCTCTTGTCCTTCTTGAATTTTAGTCAGAGTTTCAAGAATATGTGCTAAAACAGTATTGTCACTATCCGGTTTGGTCTTCATTGAGTTAGAACTAGTTGCTTTTGGGTCGCCAGAATTTTTTGCTGCAGCTGCAACTCCACTAGGAACTTGACAGTTTTCCTTCACTTCAGCCAGCTCCTCCTTCGTCACTGGAAGATTATAAGAAAGCAATATGAGTAGCAAAACATTTTTACATAAATTAGTCTAAAAGCGAAATGTATTCTTTGCTACAGAATACTTACAAAGTTTCTCAGCTATGATGTATGGATTATTCTCTCCAACTCCTTTAATGATATCCTTGAGGATTTTTCCAAAACGGTTGCTGACATTTTGGCACTCTACTTCTTTCATTTTTAGTAAGTCATCTTTCCCATCCCAATAAAATGGAATGTGGCCAGTTCTAATATGTTCAGTCAAGCGATGTAGCATCTAAGAAGCCATTGTCAAGGATATTAATTAAATATTGATGTAGCATAATTTGGAAACTCTCAGTGACAGTAGATGATGGATCACTCACAAATAAAAATATGTAGGTGCCGCGTTGTTTCCAGAATTCAGAATTTTGAGTTTGCATCTCCATCAAAACAACTGACTTAATTGCATAGGATGACAGCTTAAATTTAGTGGAGTCTCTTAATTTCTGCTCAAAAGAAATTTAAAATTATTATTGGAAGTGGATAAAAAGAGAAAATACATGAGATGATGATTTGGAAATTACAATTTCTAGTAGTTTACCTTTAGCAATTTAATGGTGGGTTTAACAGTCCCTGTTCCATTAAGTATCTCTCTTTCTTGATCTAGGAAAGACATTCTCCATTCCCGAGCATCATTGGGTCCCGGGGCTTCAAATTCCTTTAACTTCTTGGGCTTTGGAACAACCATCCACGACTTTTTCTGGTAAATAATAGGTAAGTTATTTAATCAGACCCTGAAAGACTGTGTTGTTTTGTTGGAATAGATTATCACACTGCTCATATTGTCAAAACGTACATTGCAATTTTTTGGTAATGGTAGAACAGAGTCAGGCCAAATTGGGGGCCCAAATTGGAAAGCCGGTACTAAATCCACATCTATTGAGAGATTATCAGGTGTTACAACTTTAACGGTCATAGCCGGTCCACTCTTCTTATACCCAATCTAAAAGATTTGCAAGTGTGTAAGTACTTTTGTTTTCATATTGGAAAGACATTACTAGAACTGCTACCAGATACTAGTCAGACCTTGTACTCTTGTTCTTCTCCATCCTGCTTTCCAACTTTAAGACAACGAGTGTTGCCTCCCGAACTCTCATGAAAGGGAAGACCATCAAATGCTTTTGTTAATACACTTTCCATCCAGTCTCGAAACTTTGTTTGAAGTAGGTAGCCTTCATCATCCACCCAGCGTCTTCATGAAACATAAAGTTGAGTTTTCTAAATGGCACATAATTTGCAATCTATTGTAGAATAGGAAATTATGTGCATTGATTTCACATACAATAGATCTGTTGACAATGATGACCCTTCATTAAAAGCCTTTTGACCTTTTATCATGATAAAGGATGGAGTAACAGTTTCAAACTAAAACAAATAAAACTTAGATCAAAAATATCTTGAACAAATTAAAAAATTAGAGTACATAAGGTAGTTTTCGTACCTCAAGTTTACTATGATCAACTGGTAGTCTAATAATCATATTCATGTCATATTCCTCTGGTTTTCCAATCTTCAATCCGTCAGGATAACTTCCTGCAAAATGCTCTTTGAGATAGAGACTGTTAAAGAGTGCATCACTTTTTTTCATGAGCTGGACAAGCTTTGTTAACTGTAATTAAAGTTGGAAAACGATAAGGACTGTGGAATTATTTTTTTACAGTATATCATTGCATAGGCGGGGAATGCTTTCATATCTTACCACAGTTTTCAAGTGCTCAGCATAAATGGCATAGTCGCTGTCATTCAAACTAATGTACCTCTTGTTGATGTATTGGAGGACAATTTCTGAATTCGAATCTCTTAAACTTTTCTTGAAACTATCTGACTGAAGAATATCCGCAACATTTTGCCCATTCAATGTAGATACCATGATTGTAAAACAAGTATTGGAAAGCTAAGCTTTCCACTTTCCTTCGGCCTAACGATATGGCGTCGGGGAATAGCCGGCTTCGCGGCGCAAGGGGCTTGACCTTGCTTCATGCGACGCGTGTGGTTTTAGAATGCGAGTAGATATGGAGGGTGGGGGAACGACGCCATGGGTGGGGCGCGGCCGAGGCTGAGGCGGGTGCGTCGGGTGTGCCCCTCTGCGCTGCGGAAGGGTGGCAGCCTGCCACTGGCGGAGGGGCGTTCAATGCAATAATCCCGTTACTCTGGACCAAACACCACATTTATTGAATACAACAGCCATGTTTTCTCCTACGACTTGAGCACGCACTCGACGTACTCGGGGCCGAGATGAGCGATCTTGCCCAGGACGCAGACGCGGTACCTCAGCACTTGGTCGACGTGGGGTTGACAGTCCTTCTCGATCTCTGTGATGAGCTGAGGGAAGCCCGCGAACTCGATCATGGCCAGGCAAGTGACGATACCCTCCATGCTGAAGCGCCTGGCGCGGCTGAGGACCTCTGCGAGCGAATAAAGAGAGTGATAGTTCGAGTGTACTCCAAACATGAACTCTGCTCACCCGTCGATACCGGATTGGGTGGGAGGTTGTACGAAACGCCTGAAGAGTAGGCAAACTTTTCTACTTTCCACCGACATCAGCAGGCCGAAACAGAAGTGTCCTTTGCTCTTACCTGTCTCGGAAGAGGAAGCAGACGCACTGGCAATTGCGCTGCAGCACACCTGGAACACAGCAACCAGAGTAACTCCATGCTTGGATGGGACCCAACCAGCACGCCTGTGCGGTTGTGCGGTGCTCCCACAGTGAGCGTTTCGCGAGGCAGGTCGCCGGTCTCACACAGCTGCTCGGCGGGTTTGCCTACCCAGCGCGAGGCAGGCGCTCTCACTTGCATCTTCGTCTCCTTGTTCCGTTCATTGTGGGGTTTAACTTTCCATTCCCCCCTTCCTCTAGGCGCGTATTGACTGGGGGTAGCG